GGGTGGACCGTGGTTTCATTCCTCTCCTAAATAGGCTACCACCTGTTCGAATGGTAGCCCTCTCCTGGAATCTTCTCTTGGGCTAGCAGCTGTCATACAAATTATTGTGATTGCCGGTTATAAAATAATAAGCATATTTCTGAGGAAAAAAAATACATTGGCCACCAAGAGAGCTGCTACCTAATGTAGCTAGAGAGAATGAAAACAGGTCCTGATATTTTTCCTACTTATCCTTTGAAAAGCCATCTGTCACTTCATACCCACAGGTGGCTGAGCAGCTCTGTATTTTCAATCTTTTCATAAACCTAAACCTGCTATGCCAGGATGACAAGTGGGACCTATTTATTTGGTTGAGCATAGCTGCCTGGTGAACAGCCTGGAGAAAAATTCTGAGGCTCATTCTCAATATCTGTATGTCCCACAGATGTGGGGTCAGCAGATATGCTCTCAAACGTGGATCTTGACTAGAAAACCTATTTCTGAATCTTTAAATGACATTTATTTGGGACAAGTCAAAAACTAGTCTAAAAGCACAAGCGTTACAATGGTGTCATCTAGCCCTTCTCTTCTTCACTCATTTACATATAAGGAGAAAGAGGCACATGGAGATTAAGATCCGAAATTCATTAGGATGCAGATTTTCTCCAAGTTCATGTTCAATCCTACTTATTAAGTAGAAGAAGTAGAGAAAAACATAGCTGATTGCAGTTGTCAGGGCCTTGAGGAAGTCCAACAGAATCTCCCTGGCTGAAATGGAATCCGACTGAGACAGTAAGGTTAAGACCCTATTTTTAGACAGATGAAGATTATCTTTTGATCTGGTTTTTAGAACAGTCAAGACCTAAGCATTGTTTTGCTTTGAGTAGCCCCAGCTAGGACTCTACCATCACTAGAAGATAGCAGAAGAGATTTAATGTAGTTTGATTATGAAGAGAAAACATTTTAAAAGCCCATATAAAAGCCACTCCAGAAAGCTTTCTGTAGATTTTGCTAGAGTTCTTATAAAGGAGAAACTTTGAAGTGGGAAGCTTCTTCGCGCCAGTTATAAAGCAGCTGGGAGTAAAGGATGGTGACTTTAAAACAGGTATGCAGATAGCACATAGATTTTGTCTTTAGGGCTATGCCACCTGGATAAGATGCATCACACAGACAAACAACAAAGTACACTGCACTTTATAAAGTTTAATTTTGCTAATTTTTAAGTTCCATGTCTTGCACGGAACACATCACTGTACATCAATACATGGAAATTACTCACTTGTGTCTGCTCTGACTCTACCCATCCTCCCCACCTTCTCTTAACCCCAATCAAATAACTTGTTAAAGTAGCAGAGTCCCTACGGCAAGAAGTTGAATATGGAAACACAAAAATTGTGGCTTGGCCATTAATTGTAAGGAAAAGATACTCTGAATGTCGCTATTCATATCACATAGTCTCTCCCTGGACTTTGCTGGATAGCATATTCCAGAAAGGTGAGAGTGATGCCTCCCACTTCAAACTTTTAAGTCTTCCTAAAGACAAAGATAAGCCTCTGATTATTGTCCTTATACTAAATGCTGTCATTTGCTTTCCCCTAAAACTTGCTAGAAAAAGACAGCACCTTTAAATATTAGGAGCAGTGAAATGAGAGTCTTTTAAAACTAGAACATTTGCTTGTTCTGACTTTGAAGACTAACACAAGGATGCAGTTTTACGGGAAACCTTTCTTCACTTGGACCACTACCCTCGTTAGCTTTACGGTAGTATCACTTAAAGGAGAGCTCTCATCTAGAGACTGGGCTTCTTCCTCTTCCTGTTCTTATTTGTTCTGTGATTTTGGTCAAGAATCTTAGTACCTGTGGACCAGTTTCTTCAGCTTCAAAATGAGGGGTTAAGCCACAGTGAAAAAAGAACAATCTCCAAATCATAATTACATTTCCCCATCTACTTTAATGACTCTTGGAAGTTATCTCACTCAACTGCAGAATATGCCTCACTTTAACTGAGGTCCTTATAATGAGACCAACATAAGATGGTATGGCTAGACCTGTGGCTGTACTCTCATAATTACAAAGGGTAAAGTTTTTTCTATTGTGAAATAGCCTTCGCTGTATTTGAAAAACCCATTCAATATAAATCAAAGTTCAGGGGTGAATGGACTATGCTTTAAGTTCGTTATGAATACAACTGCCATCTAGTCTTTGCAGTCCACAGAATTCTTCTTTAAGTGAATAAATGTGTAGGGCAACTCTCCATTACCTTGATCAGCATCTAATACCAACCTGACACTTAGAATTAAATTAGAGAAACAAAATTGGATACTTTGAGACTTGAGGGCTGATTAGGCTACTAGAGCTAAGAGTGGATTTAAACTCTTCTCTTATCCCATTTAAATCTAACTAGGTATAAACTCTCCATTACTAAGGAACAGAGGTGTGTCTGCAGAGGTGGAGGTTCCCCTTGATGTTCCTGGACAAGGAAACTTAATCCTTTCTTCTGACACACATGGTTGCAATAGAAACCATTCCCCAACTGCCAGTCTGGTTTTAATCTGTTGTTTCTAGCAAGGGAGGATTTTCAGGGAATGTTAAGAAGAAAGCAAAATTACCAGAACTTACTATAAAAGTGTTGATGAGAAATCAAATTTTAAACAAGTGTTCAAAATTGTAAGCATGAACATATGTATATATACAGTGCATATTATAAATATAGGACTATAAAAGTTTTTAATCTTAAGTATGTTTAAAGTCTGCTTTCAATACAACATTTATATTCTCATTTTACTAAAGCTCTTCAGCTTACCCAAATGATAGCAACAGTAAAAGTCTGTCATTAAATACGGTGGTGCTTCATTTAAACAACATTGCTGACGAATGAGGTATTGCATAGGTGAATTTTCCACTGAACCAAACTTACCACAGCATAAGATAAACTTTTAAATGTTAACCATTTTATATGGAAACATTTTAGAAGTGTATTACAGAATTTTTGTTTTAAGATACATGTATACTGGGTCATACATAATCTTTCCCTAAAGATTCATGGTTACTATTACTAAAAACTTACTAGAAGAGCTTGAATATAATGCTCCTCTTAGAAGTTGGTGAGCTTTTGGGTCATACTTTTCCCAAACACCAGACTGCTACTGTGCAAAAGTATAAAAGTAGACAGAACTGGTTTTACTTTAAACAGGTTTTGTGTCTTTTCTGTTGTCAACTTTATGGCTCTTAAAAGCATTATTAACCTGAAAATTTAGTTGTGTAATTTGTTCAAATCCAAATTAGATTTAAAAGATGTGCCTACTTTGCCTAAGTCAATATTCTAAGTGCTGGCGGAAATATAAAGAAATATAAACTATAGTCTTCGTCCAAGAAGCAAGTTAGCTGACTGATACCACTGTGTTACCAGGTCACCACCATGGTGTGAAAGTTTATTATTTCTAATAAAGTCTTAAAGTTAGCAAATAACTTAAGATTTAAGGATACAGAAATTATCCAACTTGGGGTCTGATATACCTTTGTTAGTGGGAATTGTTTGGGAATATCTCCTATGAAAATATCACCAGCCATATGAGTCAGCAGATAAGACTGAGAAGGACAGCTTGAGAAAATAAAGTGAGTGCACCCTTGACAGTTTTTGGTGCACCAGTCTTATTGCCAGGTTTTATCTTGCAATCGGGATGGCCAAGGATGTCAGAAGTCTAATCTTGCTCATCCCTACAGTCAGACAATCTAATTAATAATATACCTATCAAAAAACTGTATTGTAATCCTTTATTGAGTCTGAACATGTAAGGCACTTATAAAACTTCATTTTACAGAGAATACCACAGATCCCTTCCCCTAGCAAGGTTTCTTTTCTCAATTTCAGTAATCCCACATTCTTTGGGTTCTCTAGCATCTCCTGGGTACTTTTTTCATTTGCACCATCTGACCACTTTTATTCCATAAACTCTATCTAGCCGTCTCCACAATTTCCTCGGTTTCGGTTAGTTCAAAACTCTCCTGAGGCCCACACCAATGCATCTATCTAATAGGTATCGCATTTGGAAGTACTACAAGCACCTAAATTTCACAGCTCAAACCTCTTTTTTTGAAGAAGGAAACTTAACTTCCTTAGTTTTTATTATTCTTCCTCCCTATAATTCTAAATTACAATTATGCTTGAACTGCAACAGTACTTTGTACACTTAGAGTTTACTGTATGGTTTTAATAAATTTTGTCTTACCCGGCTTGATTTCTGCTCCTTAATAAGTAAAGGCATTTCTTATACAACTTACCTCCTCACTCCCCTTCCCCTAAGTTTTCAGTATTAGTTGAATGGATAAATACAGCAAAATCTCTTCCAGTTATACATATTTTTACTGAAAGATTGATTTGGGAGATTTTTAGGTGCATTAACAAAATAGAGAACTGTATTATCCCTTCTCACAATTTAATCCCTAATAAAACAATTTCTTTCACCAGATAAAACCTTCTTCCTGAAGCCCTCCTTAGCTGACTGAAGCACACAGTCCTAACCACCCCTCCTCTCCCAAACTATCGTTTGCTTCTTTAAAACATTTAAAATAGTGGGCATCCTTTATTTATTTGCTACCCCACCCGGCTGCACACTTCTCGACGCCAAGATATGCCTTTCCTTGCGTCTTCAGCTCCTAGTACAAGTTCCATAAACTTTGCAGACCGAATTTAAAGCAGCCACATCTCAAAAGACCACCCATTGCTTTCTACGGAGAAAAGGGAGGACTCATTCCCGGAACTTCTTAAAAATCGCCTCTGGACAGCTAGGATCAGAAAGGCAGCCTACTGGACTTTCTTCTCAGTCCAGAGAGCTAGTACAAGGATCCCCGAAACGGATCTTCCTTACGGGAACCCTGCGCAAGAGACAAGGAATCCAAAGAAATCACTATTGCCAAGCCCCACTCGGTTCCTGTCCCCACCTGCGCTGCAACCGCGGTAGGACAACAAGGGCATGCGCAGAAAGCCAGAGGGGGGGTGGCCGGACTGGGACTGGCTCTCTGAGCAGACGTCATCCAGGAGAAGACGGCTCCGCCCTCCTCAAGATGGCGCTGCCCTCAATGCGGAAGACGCGTGGGTGCTGGAGCTTCATCCGGGCATTTCATAAAGGACACACGGTTGCTCCCGCTTCCCAGGTAACCGAGGAAGGCCCTTTTCCCGCCAGCCTCCCCTCACGCGAGGTCTTTCTCACCCTCCTCCCCGCCTTCCACTTATTTCTTTCTTCCCGTTTCCTCCGGACTAGCCATTCCTCGTCTAAGGTCGACTCGCCTATCACTGCACTCCTACTCAGAACGTGGAGACGTTTCAGGGATACGTGATGACGTAATGCTTCCCGGGTGGAAGGAGCGCGCGGCCTCCTGGCCTCGTGACCGCCGCCTCTAGCTCCGGGAGGGATGTGCGGACGCTGTTGCCGGGCAACGCGAAAAGCCAACCCCTGGTGTCACGTTTTCAGAGGCTCGGTACTTCTAGACAGCTCTCTTCCGTGGTTCCATTTCTCTTTTTATCCTTCTTTCCCAGCAGCAAGTCAAGGGGCCAGTGGAGAAATCACAGAAGACGTGTTAGGAATTGGGCGGTTCACCTCTCTCAGGCAGCGTGGTACACATACTTAGACTGAGCTGCAAATGTCAGTGCGTCTTCCACTCTGGTTGCTCTGCGTTGCCCCGTGTTGTCCTGTGTCTAGCAGGCTCTGTGAAAGAATGACAGTAAGCTGCCTAAGTGCGTGGTCCAGCTTTGACAGCCTGCTGTTACCTTTACTGTCGTCTACTGAGAGCCTGGTGTGGCCTGCAGCCCGTCACTATTTGAAATTTTGCCCTCATGGCAAAAAAGGGGCAGAGGGCCCCTTACTTATTTAGGGATGTGCCAGGCGTCTTATGCAATTTCAGTGGTAAACACTGACTTTACATTATTTATGGAGATATCTTTTGGGAACTAGAGAGAAATGAGATTCTGTGATTACCTAGGTAGTTTCCTGGCGCCTTTGCGTATTTATTGTCATGATGAGTAGGTATGAGGACGTCATATTGGATCTAGTGTATTGGAAGCAGCACTGCAGTGAAAGTTAGGAAAGCCTCGGTCCAGGGCTCTCTCTGCCACTTGAAAGCTGTGTGACAGACAAGTCCCAATCTCTGGGATTATTTAGCAAATTGATGGGAGAAAGAGTTGGATTAATTGACCTGTCAAATGCCCCTTCAAGCTTTGTAAAATCTATGGCTTCCTGATTCGGAAGCCAAAGTAAAGACACCGAGAATAATAGTGCAAACCCAAATTTAAGCTCAACTTATATTTCTATTCATCTTACAAATTTTCTGAGCTTCTGTATTCTTTATTGATGTGAACCTTACAAGATTCTCACAAGGACAAAGGACATAATATGACAGAAAGCTCTTTGTCAGCCAATAAGTATTCGGATGTTATTTTAGGTTTCAGGAGTAATGTTATGTAATAATTGATTCAGAATTGGATAAATCCATCAAATATTCCTCTCCTTGAAGTTTGAGGGTTTGCTTCTGCAAAATCAGAATTAGTTGATTATTTATAGTTAATAGCATATTGAAACCTATGCCATAAAAGTAACTGAGCCTTAGATCCAAGCTTTTGCTCATTCCAAACTGAAGAACTGCGAATGTCATGGGAATAGAAAATCAAAAAGAAAAGAAAAACAAACTGGAACCCACTAATGACTGCCCAGGGAAATTTGGGACACTAAATCATTATAAATGGTAAAGAAAAAATTTCTTAAACCTCTAATATTGTTTCAGTGACATTTATGAATAGGCTTGTTCTTAAATTTAATTGTTAAACTAGATTGTTTCAAGAGGCAGAATTTCCAAAACAGATTAATGTCTCCAAACCTTTAATTTAGCTTTGAGTAGACTCAGAATTAAATGTATTTTTAAAAAATCTACATAGAATTTAAGTCATTAAACAGGATAGTTTGAAAGACTAATGCAGTCCTTTGAAAAACTAATTGAGAAAAGATACAAAATTGCATTTATAGTGTGATTACAATATTATGCTTATATATAAATATATACACAGAAAAAAAGACCGGAAGGATACAATTATTTTTAATTTTTTTGTTTTGTTTTAGTCCTAAATAGAGGGTTAAAAGTGATTTAAGTTTTCTTTAAGCATTCTGTGTTTTTAATGTTATAAATTGAAGATATATCACTTTTATAACCAGGGAAAACTTTTGAAGGCATAAATCTCCATACAAATCTATAGTCATTAATAGTGTTTGAGAAAGATACTTGTCCCACAGTGCCGTTATTAAAATGGCCTTAGAGAAGGACTACTAAAAATTTATGGCCACTTTTCCTGTATGTATCTTCTTTTTCTCTTGAAAAGCTTCCTTTGAAGTCTAAGCGATTTTGTGAACAGATGCAGAAATATGTGAAGGAAGAATTGGATTCTTAAACCAGATGCAGTAGACATTTTTATGATATCTCATAACCTTTGTAGAAAACAAAAATTATTTTGAAAGAGTATAGTATAATACAAAGAAATGCATTTTTATCATATGGATGGTTCTATCAAAAACCAAGAAATAGCCCAGTTACTTTTTAGTGGTTTTGGCTTGCACTTAATCCCTGAGTTGAGAAGCCGAGGTGGAGCAGGCACAGCAGTGCTTTGTTAGAACTGTGACTGATAAGTATTGTGGCTCCTAACCTATTTTTTTCATTTGGGGGGATTTTTGTTTGTTTGTTTAAAGAAAATCTTGGGTAAAAAGGTTGGCATTGAAGATCTTTAGTTATCTCAACTGCAGGGTTTTTGCCCCTCAAGGATACATGTAAACTCAAGTTTAAAATTAAAACTAGAAATAAGAGTAACTGCATGTCTTGCTGTATTCATTATGGGATGTCTACAATTTATATGAAAATGGTTTATTTTGCCAGGTGTTGCCTGACTGAAAACTGTTGAAATCTGATGAGATGAGAGTAGTCTTGGAGTCAGAGGAATGGCGCTCTGACATGTTATGTTTAAATACTGATGGAATTGGGTAAATTTAAGCCTGTCATCGTTGGCCAAACACAGAATCCACAACTTCTTTAAGCACTAACTCATGATTGTATTATGCAAGGGGTGAAATATTGGTGGTTAGTAGATTTTTGCAAAAACATTTAAAATCATTCAGTTGAAGTTCATATAAAGTAGGCATATTTTATTGTGGTTCAACAGCATGCTTCATTACTAGTGGTCTCCAGCCTGGGTTCGGGTGGTATTAAAGTGTTCTTGTTGTTAAGGATCAGAAAGTGTAGCCATTAGATGAAGGAATCATGCCTGCAAAACAGTAGACATGACTTTAATTTTTTTGTCTTATATTTAGTTCTTACAACAAAAGACTTTTTTATACTTGATCTGAGCGAAAGGCTGAGAAGTACAACAATGAAACTTTTAAAAAAAACTTTATTTAAAAATCCTTTGGGATTTACAAAGTTGCAGAATTGGTACAGAGAATTTCTGTATGTGTTCTAAATTGAAGATATATCGCCCTTTATCATGCATCGCCTTTAATAATCATAATTATCAAAACCAATAAATTCATACTGGTTTAATCCTAGGAATTTAGCTAAAGACCTAATTCAAATTTCACCAGTTTTTTCACTAGCCATTTTCATGGTTTGGGATCAAGTCCAGGATTCCACATTGCACTTAATTGTCACATGTCCTCTAATGTATGATGCGCACTTCTCTAGTCTTAGTTTGTGAAATGTCTCTGAATTTAGGTTTGCCCAGTGTTTTTTCATGATTAGACTAAGGTTATGGATTTGGGCACAATATCATGGCAGAGATGTTCCTAATGAGGCTATGACATGTATTGGCACCTTATTTGGAACCTGAGGAAATAGACTCTTGTTAAGTAACTCCCTCATTGTCACCTAGTTTTTTAATGGTGGAATTAGGATGGTAAAATTTACTGTGGATGTTTTATCCCGTATTTTGCAATTAGTATTTGTTATTGTAGGTTTCTTGATCTTAATGACATTAAATTGGGGTAGCGTTCCCAGTGACCTTTCCCTCAGCTATTCTGCCATGTGTTATTCATGTAGAATAAGCGAGTGAGCATAGTGAGTGCTCAGAGCTGCTGTAGTGATCCGTGAATTTTGTTAGTTGAAGATTGTTGGTTTTATCAGGCTACTTCGTTTCTGTGCGCTTCTCTTAAATGGTAAACAAGGGTGATTTTTGGATCCACTCTAAAGCTCCTTTTAATCAGTGAATCCATTTGTTTAAAATCTGTTTAAGTTGGTTGCTCTTGTGAACTGACTTAGCTTATTGTAAAAGATAATATTGTATGTATTTCTTTGAAAAATGTCTTTGAGCTGCTAATGAAAACTACTGATCAATGATAACTGCTGAAAACACACAGGAGGAACAGTAAATAAATGCCGAGGATTTATGCTGGCAGCTACTATGGCAGCCACGGCATGGAAACGTGGAAGAGAGTGATGCTGCTGACCCCAAATTCTTTCTTAATGTATCTTTGGCATGACTGCCCATTGTAGAAATGATGTCTGTAGAAGCTTATGCAAGCATCCATCTACCCGTCTACCTATGTATCTATAACACGGAGTGTGCCCAAATATACACATTTTAAGAGATATTATCTATGCATTACTTTTCAAAATTGAATTGAAGGTACCGTTACTGGTCAAGTGTAACACATCCGTTTTACCTGTAATTTGTAAGCTTTGGGGAATGATTGATTTTATTTCCAACAAATGTGTGTACAATTTTTGGCACCCTCTGTATATGTCTATGTATAAACATAAGCATACATAAACATATTTACTTGGATCTTTAGACATGTAAGTAGTAGACATGTATATTTTTAAAATGTAGAAAAGGAGCTAACGTTTAGCTAGTACCTGCTATACGCTACAGCCTTATGCTCTGTGCTGTACATACTTTATCTTATTTACTGTGACAACATTCTTGTTAATATTAGTCTACCCATTTTTTTAAGGGGAAACTAAGGCTCAGAGAGATTAGTTAATTTTCTCAAGTCACAGAGCTAGTAAATAGCAGTGACAAGATTCAAACTGTCATGACCGTGCTTTTCCCACTTATCCAACAGTAGTTTCTTATCAAATGAAATCTCACATGAATGCTTATTAGATAAAACAGATAAAAGGAG